TGGTAACTTCATAATCTATAGGTAACTTCATAGTCTACTGGTAACTTCATAATCTATAGGTAACTTCATAGTCTACTGGTAACTTCATAATCTATAGGTAACTTCATAGTCTACTGGTAACTTCATAATCTATAGGTAACTTCATAGTCTACTAGTAACTTCATAATCTATAGGTAACTTCATAGTCTACCGATACTTCATAATCTAATTTTATAATCTAGTGGTAACTTCATAACCTATTATTCATAATCTGATAGGAACTTCATAACCTACTTATGGATAGCTCCTTTGCATTTATAACATTATTTCAACTGTTTCTTGTATAATATAGTGGTAACTTCATAGTCTAATAGTAACTGGTAGTGCTTTAATTTAATGGTGATGTCATGATCTAATAGTGACTGCTTTCTTCTTGTTCCTAATCTGTTTACATAATAAATCTATATTGTTAGTTCTAGCTTTCCAGTCTTCTTTGAATACCCAGTTCTATAATGAGGGTGCTGACCCTCTATGCTAGTTTGGATACTAATTCTATATTAAGAATTCACGCCTATTTGGTTGCCTTTCTAGATGCTAAAATGTGGTAAAAAAATATTGTGTCAGGTGGCATAGTAGATCTGTGATTAATTTTGGCTGACATTATGCCATAATTCTGGCTGATCTTAGAACACATAATTTGGGATCCAACTTGGTAACATGATGGCACTATAATAGTGCCGTGGTAACTATCATGGAACTATTAGAGAACTGGTAGAAGCTAGAGAGATTCTATTAGTTCGCCAGTTTCAGATCACTTGTATGCTAGCTTAGATGCCGAATTATTATGTCCAATGATCTGACCAAAACTATGAAATAGTATTGGCCAAAATTAATGAAATTTACTGCGCCTTATTGTGTCATGATTACGTGTTCAGTTTCTCGCTAGTTCTAGGCACTTTTCCGTTACTTTCAAGTAACTTTTGAGTAACTTTCGAAGGCCTGGTTTGGTGGTCAGTTGGTTAGAGGATCAGAGGTGTAATTTGCATTATATTAATCAGCCCATATATTTTCCTTCTTGATTGCCAATCTCTTAATTGCCAGATGAGACACAAAGTGCCGAATTTGCAATTCATCATCTATTTGCTAAAGATATGTTGCAATCTATTCACTCACTTTTTGATTGCTGGTGAGACACATATGAAGTGTTAGTGTTGTGCTATTCTTACAATCCTGCCTTTTGTGACCCTTTTGATTGCTGAGGATGAGGTAAGAAGTGCCGAATTAGTTCAGACTATATTGCTTTTATACCTTTTTTCATGTATTCTCCTGAATCTTTCTGCCTTCCCAATCTCTTTTCTGCCTATCGGCAGTAGTATCCAAAAGCATAATTTCTTATTTTATTTCTATATAATTCTACCTTTGGATACTACCAAATTTATACCCTAGTTTTCGCCCAAGCCTTCCTAGAATTCTTTCTCGTATAGTTTTTATACTGGGATACTTTGAGGTACTACTACATCAATTATTTTTAAGCATTATTATATTGATTACTTTTGGGTACTACCACATCGACTACTTTTGGGTACTACCACATCAACTACTTTTGGGTACTACCACTGACCCAGTATTTTGCTAACAAGCATATTCGCTCAAAATTTTTATTTTGAAGATTTGGGAAATTTACATGTAATTTTATACTTAGTATTTCCATACATTGTATTATGCTACTTACGTAAAAAAATTCTGAGTCTCGTCCTAAAACAATAAATGATGCAATCAGGTTCTTCTCTGATTTAGCTGACCTCGATTATGAGCCTGGTTATAATAATCATATATACTTTTAATATTTGTCTAATAATAATAATAATATCTCTCTTCTAGAAGCCTATCATCCTAAAGAGATTTTTAATAAATATATTATTCGAGTATCTGGAAAAGGTTTTACAGTAGTCAATCATCCATCTGAAGTTTATGGAATCCCTGATGCTCACGAATGCATTGATGGGAATCTGCCTCTGCGTCTGGTTCTGGATATTGATGCAAGGCAAAAGCCAGATCCAATGAACCCTAAACTCCCTTTTTTAGATAAATATAAAATTACTTGCGAAGATTTATTATCCAGAATTTTAATTGCCTGTGTTGATATTTTATATTCTGATTTAAACCATCTTGCAATATTAAATGCTTTTACCTTAGCCAGTTTATCTAATACTAATAAATGCAGTTGGCATATTGTGTATAAATATGCACGGTTCATTGACTACAGAGACCTTAGAGGATTTGTGAAAAAAGTTGCTGATAGAGTTGGGAAACTATACTCTGAATTTATTGACCATGGGCTTTATAAATCACGTTTTAGTTTTCGGCTTCTTAGATCGGCAAAGGAAGATAAAGTTAAAAGACCTGCGATTTCTTTAGTTAAACAAGGATATCGCAAGTTAGAAGATTATTTAGTTCAACCTAAATCTGATTATTCAAAATCTGGCCACAGACCTTTTCTCCTGAAAAGTCAGAAAAGGATAAATTCCAACTTATCAAAGATGAAATCGCCTAGGGAGCTAATTTAGTTACAGCAAAATATGAGTGGCTTAAAATTGGCCATATTAGAAAGGGATTTGTCAACTTCCAAGCAAAGTCATATAAAGCATGTCCTATTTGCAGAATCAAACATAAAAGAGATCAATTATATGACTTTCTTCGAAGTAATGGCTATTTTGTACTTAAATGCTATTGGCAAAATCAATATAAGTCAAATCATAAAGGACTAACATTTGGAGAGGCATCAGATATAATCAAACCAAAAGAAAGACTTAAATAGAGATTGAATGACAGGTTAATTAATATTATAAAAAATCCACGTTTACTCTCTGAATTGTCTGGAAAAAATATTAATGTAAAAGAGATGGAAGAGGCTCCAGAAGCTTATCCAGACTTCTTAAGTTCTGTATGTAGTATGACTCTTATCCGTTCACTCGTAGGTACTGGTAAAACAAAAGCTTTAAGAGGAATTCTCAACTCTTTAGCTGGAAATAGAGAAAATTTGCCTTGCTTTATCTGGGTTTCATATTGCAAAACTCTTACCAATGAGACTAAAGCTAAAATTGAAATATTACAGAATTTAGGATTTCGCGTATGCCAATATCAAGAAGTTGAGGGTAGTTTAGCTATAAGTGATTGGGATGTTATTATCATTTAGGTTGAAAGTACACATCGTATTGAGCTTCATGGAAGGCGTTCATATGTAGTTATTTTAGATGAAGTCAATGCGGTTATACGCCAAATGTCTAGTGGTGTTCATGCGTGAGAATCTGAAAATGCTATGCGAGATTTGCTAAAGTCAGCTATTCATGTTGTGGCTATGGATGCTTTTGCGAATGACTCCACTATAGCTTTCTTAAAACAATATCAAAGTAATGATATATGAATTTTCGATAATAAATATCAACCACGTATAGACGAAACTGTTAAGATTCTTTATGATCCGGACAAAGTTTCAGAGACTATGAGAAGAGGTCTTAAGATGCTCCAAGAAGGCAAGCGTGTTGCTTTTGCAATGACATCATGTAAAAAAGCTTGAACTTTAGCAAACCAAGCTTCTGCATTGCAAAAACTGGATAGTTCACCTATTTTAACTCGTGTTTATTTTGGCTAAATGGATGAAATGCAACGACAAGAGGATTTCACTAATATTAATGCTACCTGGAGTTCTCTTGACTGCGTGATTTACACAAGTACTGTAGAAGCTGGCATCTCTTTTGAAATTCCTAATCATTTTGACGCTATTATAGGAATTAGCAATATTAAAATGGGAGTACATGTCGAAGCTTTTGCACAGATGCTTTATCGAATTCAGGATTGTCCACAATGCATAATTTCTTTATATAATAGTCAGAAGTCCTCTGAAATATTTCAAGAGCCAAATCGTAGTCTTATTCGTGCTAAACTTTCTGCTTTAAGACCTATTGATTTACCAACAGCAGTAAAAGGATATCGGAAATGGGATAAAATTGCTGATTGTTATGCTTTTGATGTATCTCCAGCAGTCGAAACATATATTGAGGCTGAATACCAGAGACGCTTATCAGCAAAGTACTTTCCTGAAATTCTTTGCAGTCTTGTTTTTAGTACAGAAGCTTCACTTGAAATTATTTCTACAGAAGGTATTATAGCCGATAGGAAAATGGTTTCTAACATTATTAAGGTGGTTGAAGAAAATATCAAAAGCTCCGATGCAGAATTAATAGTTAACGCACCTGATATCACCCCGGATGATGCTGAAGTTCTTAAACAAATTCCCATCCGCTCGTTCACTGATAATATGATATTGCAACAACACTATTTATGGAGAATATATGCTTCAGGAGATATTGGAGGTAAGAACGATAATTGGGACTGAAGCATGGATGATGCCAAATGGATTAATCTATGCAATATCAGTTTTGTAAAAAAATTTAATAATCCTGAACCTTTACGACACTTTAGAAGACTGGCATATTTCTAAAGACAAGGTTCAGATACAATAAAAGTTTTAGAAGGGTTAAAAACTAAAGAAACTATACAGTGGGAGGAATCGCATAATTTCTCAGATCCATCTTCAATTGATTTACGAAAGGCATATTTATTTAAACAGTGGAAGGCAATACAGGAACTTTTTCAAATATTAGGCTTTACTGGTATTGATGATATACGTACTCTTTCGGGTAATATTATTTCAGAAGCGTTTGCTCAATCGTGTGAAAGATTTATAGAAATCTGAAATCAATCCTTATTGCTCTTTGGATTTAAATCTCGCGCAAAAGAAATACCAGATCTTAAATCAACTATAAAAGCAATTAATGCAATTGCTGGTAATTAGTGCAGATATACTGTTAAAAGTGATAAAAAAAGAATAGGGTCTAAAGGACAACAAGTTTGGCAATATTCATATCAAATTAATCGTCAGCCATATAATGATACTGGTTTTGGAGATAAAGGCGCTCCAGAGCTTCCATCATACAGGCTGAAAACAGATAATGATATTCAGGAACTCTTTGACTCTATAGGATAGGAAAAATAATACTTTGGCCAGATTATTATTCAGCTAGGTGTCTCGATCATGTCTGATTCCATTTTAACTTTTTTACCTTCACGCTAGACATTTTTATAAATTCTTTTATGTGTGTTACAGATTCCAGTATCAGAATATGTTAGCTCATTACAGATAAGACATATTGTTTTAAGAAGGGCATTAAAATGTCTGAAACACCCTAAATCACTCATGCACCCTTTCTCACACATCGAACCATCTTTCTTGATGTATTGGCAGATAAAATGACCCATACGAGGTAATTTTAATATTAATAATCTTAAAACTTCGCTTTCACTTTTATTATAGATATTCAAAATTCCTTTGCTTTAGTGAGTCAGCTTAGTAACTGCGTCTTCAGCCAAAGTTACAAAATCTACTCACTCTTTTTGCGACTCTCTAGCCAGCTTTTCTTATACATCATACAAAAGCCAGTCTGAGAATGGATTGACCCATTACAGGATGTGCACATTTTATTTGGTGGAGACTTATAGTATCTGACACACCCGCCCTCATAAAAGTATCTTTTTCCACAGATAGACCCATCATCTTTCTTATTTAGGCAAGGCCAAGTTGGGTAATTCTCGTCCTCTGAATTAGATATGTATTCACCAAAGAGACCAAAGGGCATAGTACTTCTTTTTGGAAAAGTTTTTAAGATTAATATATGTTAAACTTATCTTCATTATAGATATTTAAAAATGTGTTATGTCAGTTTAGAGCATAAGCTATATCATTTTTTTTTCGCTCTTTTAATCTAGTCAAAAGCCGTCTCTGATATTTTTCCTTTCTGAAGAAGCATGGCTCTGAGGAAATTTTTCAAATTGAACTTTTTCAGATATAGAATAACCTAATGGTTACGCATAATCTAGTAGTTACTCCATAACCTATATTCACACAGCCATGTTCACGATTGTAATAAAGTACGTTGCAGAACACAAACTCAATAAAGATATAAGTAATGAAGAACTTAGTCAGCATGCTCTAGCATTACTCGAGCTTTTGACAGATAAATTGAAAAGAGATAAGGGTCACCGGTACTTTCAGGAAGGATATAGTTTTAGTAAAGAGCAGGCATTTGTATTAGTCCCTGATCAGAGAATTTGTCAAAGTAGAAGTCGGGTAATCCCAAAGAAGGAGGAGATAAAGCAGGGGAAGTTAATATATGCCAAATATCAAACATCATCCCAGATGGAGAAACCATCGAAAGTATAGCCTAGCATATTGTTCGAGATAATCTTGGTGAAAAAGAAGTAAAGGCGATAGCCAAGGCTTTAACTATAACGTCCCCTAACCCTATCATCACCACATCCCGTCTTAGTAAGCTCTGAAGAGAGTTGTGGAAACTTAATGCCCCCAAAAAGATAATCTCTGCTACATTAGACGAAAAAACAACTTGCGCATCTAATAAGATTTAAAAGGAGCGTAGAGATCAACGTGAAAATAAAGGGATTGATTTTTCAGATCACTTCTCATTAGAATCAGTTAAGAAGAGACTCAATTTCTATGATGTGTCTAATACATCCGATGTGCAAGCCCTAGCCAATATAATGATAATGCTCTGCATCCATTTTGCTGAAATTAAAGACTTGCGCATATCTAATAGAGGTGTAACTGGATATGCAAAAAACTGAGGCTAACAGGATAATCATTGAATATTTAGATCGTTAGAAAGAGATTAAGAGCAGGCTAAACTTCTCCTTACTTGGATTCAGAATGCAATTTCTTCTGGACAGTTGAGGGATCCAGGAGTGTCAGGAGTTAAATAGTTTAATACATTTCTGAAAAAAGATAGATTTCTTTCTGAAACTAGTAAACCACTTCTTTCTAGCTATTTATGCAAATTGGAGGCAGTATTTGCGGTTGTATCGAATGATGCAAAGAATTTATCAGAAGCTATGACCATTGCCAGTCAAGCTCTTCGACATTCGTCAGACAACTATACCTCCCCAGCACAAAACTATACTATAGTCAATTTTCGAAAAAGAGGACAGCCTTATGATCAGGCAACGGCATTTGAGCTCTTCGATGAAAACTAATCACATAGATGGGTTAGACAACATTTATTAAATTTTATTTTTTCGCTTGAGGCAAGATATACCATATCACGAAAATAGTCAGAATGGAATTAACTGATCAAAAGCATCCATCTGATAGTATAGCTAGCGAGTAGGAAGATATCAGAGGTATAAAGAAAACAGCCTGGTTATTTGGATTGGATGAGTAGAATGCAAGAGCATATAAAGCACTCTCTGGACAGATTCGGGAGCTCGAGAAAAAACTGGATAATTATCATTCTGGACTGTGGTTGACTTAATATATAAAATAGTTCTCATACTGATTAATGAAAAAAGTAAGGGTTCCACCTATTCGTCTGAGTCTTCTGAAGATTCTGATTCAGTTGAAATAATTGAGAGATCCCATGAGTATCAGGTAAGAGAAGAAAGGGCTTTCTTTCATGATTTCGTGCCTTTGGCTAAGCAATGAAGGAGGGCGTGACCAAGAAATGTTAAGCAGGTAGTAGTTTAAAGAGATGAATCAGGCACTTTGCATATTTTGGATCAAATATAATTGAATCGGATAAATTATTAAATATGGCTAAAAAATCGAGAAATAACTGACGCAAGATAATGAGTAAGTTCACTACTAATCCCACGCAGTATTTTCTATAATGCAATCCGTTCAAATATGAACACAGATATGATAGGGCCACTGGCTTTATTACTGTCAAGAACATAAGACAGGATAAAGTTGTAGGTATATTCGATTACTTTGAGCTGAATATCTGGGAGTCTGATCCAGTCCAGAAAATTTATTTTTTCGATTAAAGATACAGCATATATTATTTATGGTGTATTTGAGTATTATAAATTTACTGAAACTATTAGAGCGGATTCTATATTTCCTAGTGGTAAATAAGTCACTATATCCCGCTCTATTTGTTTCCTGATTATGATACGGATGTGGTGCTCCTATTTTATAGAAACGCATCGAGCTAAAGTGGGAAAATAAATGTCACTCTCCATTGAAAAAATTTATGAAAATAGTACGAAAAAGACAAAAGCCAGTTTATAGCTCAAATCTAACTCATCTAAAAATTCAAACTACCATTCACTTTCAGATAAAAAATTCAATAGTATTGCGCGTTTATTCCCAAATATAGTTCATTTAGATTTAAATTTTAGCACAGGATTTAGCGATAAAACACTAAATCGAGTAGCAGAGACATACCCCAATCTGAAGTATCTCAATTTGCAAAAGAGTAGGTACGAATGCTCTAATGGTAGGAAAGTGACTAATAAAGGTCTATATGCAATTGCACGGTCATGTCATAAACTAGAATATCTAAATATTTCTTATCATACAGAGATTATTGGGATATCGATTTATGATATTATCCATTCTTGCCCAAGGCTTCAACATCTTGAATTTAGCTATTGCAAATCTACTAATGAGATTATCAAAGAAATTGCTAGTTTGTGTCTTAATTTAAAGTATTTCAAATTGGAAGGGTATGATGTTAGTAAAGAAGCGCTCGTTTTACTTAATCCAAATTTTCATGTTGAGAATTTCGTGTATACTATAATCCCACTCTCTCTTTGTGAATATCTCAGGATGTATGTAGTGTCAAGGAGACTGAGAATGTCAGTTGATGCATCAAGAGATATTAAGTCTATACATGATTATGTTAACGATGAACTAATGAGAAATGGATATTGTTAAAACAAGCGTTAGGATTTCGCAAACAATCTGATCTGGAGGGATTTTTTCTGATCACACCCATTGCATTTATAGTTCTTAGACCGGATTGGCCTGATTATTATCCTGACTTAGTATTAGGAATGCAATGGTTTCAAGAAAATGGTGCAACTTTGGATATATGTAATTCAAAACTATTATTAGAACAATAATTTTGCGATCTCATTCAAAAAAATAAAATGAGAATAACAATCTGAAGCAGGCTGAAGATGCTTTGCATAATAGTGTAATTTTATTTTTTGTTTAAAGATACAGCATATATTTTTTATGGCGCAATCAAGCATCTTTTATTTACCAGAACTATTAGAATATATTTTACATTTTTTAGCGATAGATAAATCCCTCTATCACACTCTATTTGTTTTCCAATTGTGATACAGATGTGGTGCACCTATTCTGTAGAAGCATATCGAATTGAGAGGAAAAGACTTATATCCTGGACAATCTCTTCCAAATGATTATAAAAATTACTGTGCAAAGGATCATCCTCGATTAAATAAATTCATAAGGATAGAACGTACAAAAGATCTCTCTTAATTAAAAAAATTCATAAAGTTAGTACGTAAGAAGCAAATGCCAGTTTATTGCTCAAATGTAACTCATCTTAAAATATCATACTACTATTCACTTTCAGATAAAAAAATCATAAGCATTGTACATTTATGCCCAAATATAACCCACTTAAGTTTCATAAATAGCATAGCATTTAGTAATAGAGCATTAGAACTGATAGCGAATTCATACCCGAATCTGAAGTATCTCAATTTATGTATTGATCGACCAGGTGGCTTTAGGAGCTTTCGTATTCGAGAAGTAGATGGTAGTGATATATGGAGAATCGCAAAGTTATGCCATAGATTAGAATATCTAAATATCTTTAATCGCAGAGAATATTCTGAAACATCAATTTGTAATGTTATTCGTTCTTGCCCAAGGCTCCAGCAACTCAACCTTAGCTTTCGTCAAATTACTGATATAACTATCAAAGAAATTGCTAGTTCATGTCTTAATTTAAAGTATCTCAATTTGGAAGAGTGTAATAATATTAGCAAAGAAGCTATAGATTAGCTCATTTCACTTAATCCAAATACCTATATTGAGAATTTTGTGCCAATTCAGGTATCTTTCCTAGATGTGATTCGTGAACTTGTAAGGAGTCTGAGGATACCACATGATGCATCAAGAAATATTACATCCTTAGATAATTTTATCATCGACGACTTATCAAGGAGATTGAGTGAACATTGTATTCTAGCTAGAACATCACTTCAGAATGGTGGTCAGTTATATAACACCTGGCATAGTATTGATAATAATCAGAATTCGGTTATATCTCAGATACACTGGCAACCTAATAGACGATCACCAAGGATTAATTTTGGTAGAATATTAGTCGATCAAGTAGAATGGTAGTACTCTACCGATCTAACTAATCTGGAGCAGTGATCATCAGCTCAGATGATTTTTTGTTGGGTTATAGTCTGTGTGATAAAAAATATAGATTAGCTAATCTATTCTAGACATGAGCACTGTCCAGTGCTAATTGAATTTTTTACAAAAATTTTATGTAATTGTTGAGGAGAGAGATTTGGAAATAGCGGATGCCCTTCTCCAATAAACTGAATTTTATTTACTCCCATTTCACCATATTTCTGTAAAATCACAATTAGAACATCTTCTAATGGACTGTGGAATTCCTCAAACTTTTGGAAATATGCTCTTGCTTTTTCATCGACTTCTTCTGCCCTTTCTTGATTAAAATAACCAATAATACTAAGTTCATCCTGAATTATTATTATATCCTCTTCCAGGTATAAAAGCAAATTATATATTTCTCTATATGAAATATCTGTAGAAGCTTTATTGCTTTGGAGTGCCTCTTCTAGAATGAGATTACCTTCAATGCTGAGATCATCCCATATTGGTATTATATCTTCTACCAAATTTAACAATAACTCATATGAATCGGCAAGTATTTTTCGCCTTCTAGCTTCAATGTTTGTTATTTGATTTGCATTACCACTAATACTGAGTTTTTTCTGAATAGCTATTATATCCTTCTTCTTATATAATAGCACTTCATATAATTGATTAAGTGTTTCAGGATCATTTGTCATGATTGCTACAATAAAGTAATATATTTAATGAGAAAATCTTGTGTCTGGAATATTGATCATCAACTGGAGTGATAATCTTCAGCTCAGAAGAATTTGCTAAGCCATACACAGCGCCTTATTCGAAGAACGCCTTTGGCTTGGCTAGATTATGTGACAAAAATAGGCTGATCACATAATAGGTCTGTATAATATTTTCGCATATTAATTTCGCGTATATATATGCTAACTAGTACCTTTATTTTTTTCTGAACAAATGTGAGAAAAATGTGAAAGAGGGTCTACATGCAACACAGGACCTTCCCTATAAGTAAATAGTGCCAACAAAAGCATATGTTATGAAAGGCTGAGGGACTTGCAATTCTGAGATCGTCAGGCGTAAAACCAATTATATGTCTTGCAAGGTAGATCTACATGTGAAAAGGTATAAGAATTTCATTTACATGTGCTTTCATAGAACTCTTGGCCTCATACCTCCTTAACTTCGGCTTAGCGCTCTTTTTCCTAGCAAAATATAAAGCATGTAGGAGTATGTGGAAGTTCAGCCAACTTTCCCGTGAAAAATTAAGGTATGTATATGCTAGAAAGGTCCCTTCAGGACCAGTTATATATGTATGAGAGCGAAGTATGACGTAAAAATACTCACTATGGGCTCTTGAATTTAGGAAACTCACTACATAATGACCAATAAAAATAATAATAATGATAACAATGGTATTGATATCACTCTCAATTGTCTTATCATTCTCATAAGAAATCTCTTCAATCTTCTAAACAATCAAGTAGCTCAAGTAATTACAATCAACACAAGTCAAAGGGTTAGCAGATTTGAAAATACAATTCGAAGCTGATTGGGGTCACTATTTGATAATCTTTATCTAATAATTCAAGAGATCTATCCTGGAACAGTTAACGAAAGGCCAATGGACTCTCAAGTCTTTATTTCTATTTTTTTTAATAATCAATCTCTACCCTAAGCGAACCGCTTCTATGTCACTGTATATTCTACATAATTTTCAGTATCATGTAGCGCTATAGTTGCAATTTTATGTATTGTAGGCCAGTTCTGGCAACGTTTTTTATTTCTTTTATTTTATAAAAAGTATTATTATTGTACTGTACATAAGAAATGGGTCACGTGTAATGATACGGTCTAGGACTATAAATCTAACATTTTTATCTAGCCTTGGCTACATTGCATCATAGGTGCAATGATCGCCTAATCACTGCGCCTCCCTAACTGTCTTCTCACTTATCACCTGATGTAGTACAGGCTTATGAAACAGAATAATTTCTCACATATAGTCTGTCTCAGTATTTTTTTTGCAAATAAAATTCTTTTAACTTTTGTCCTCACATACAGCACTTTGAGTCAATAACATTTCGCAAAAAATACTATATAAGCTGAAAATATGCCTATCACTCATTAAAGAAAATACGACCGTTAGTGCTTTTGCCGTAGATATTGATAGGAAAAAGTTAGTTAGCCACCTCAAGAAAGTTATTAAGGCTGAGTAACCGCAAACTTTCACTAACGTTGATGCCAAAGACATTAAATTATGGAAAGTGTCAATCTCTGACGATCATGTTGATCCCTTAAGCAATCTTTCACTCAAGGACAGCGACGAGTTGTTGGCAATAAGAAAAATTTCGAAATACTTTCCAGACTCACCTCCTGAAGAATATATCCACATATTGTAAAGTTGCCAGTAAGTTGTCTGATACAGTCTGTACAAAGCGCCTTAACGGCTAATTTTTAGTCATTTGCCTTCATAATATTAACACGTATTCGTTTCCAATTCTCAGCTTGGAAGAGGCATTGTCATGTATTCCGCCACCCATAACATATTCTCCGAAATGTACTAAACCAAAGATCACTACAAAGGTTAATGGTGACCCTCCATTTTATGGAGAGACTTTTTCAAGGAAGTGAATCAATTCCGCTTCAACTAGCAACTGAGATTCGAGCGATCACAATTTATCAAAAATAAAGTTGTTGTTAAATGAGGAGGACATTTGTGTTGCTATTGATGTAAATATTTGTATGACATTGAACGAACTTACAGGGTCAGAATATGATTTTTCTAAATGCCAAACTCATACTCCTGGCATACCAGATTTCAATTGTCATCTTGTGGAATTGCTTATCCTGATGATTGAGGCAAAAAGAAAGCATGTTTTAGAAGATATGGGCAAACAGACATTTTTCGAGTTTTATCAGACAAGTAAAGGCAAAGACGTAATTCAACAAATCTATAATTACATGAGAGGAAACGAACTTAAATACAGTATTCTTACCACCTGCAATAGTCACTGGTTTCTATGCCGAGAACATACAGAGCTCTGGATCTCAAAAACCCTTTCACTGCAATCCCTAACACGACAGGCAAAAGAGAATTCCAACTCCCCTAAACCTCAAGTACTAGTGCTAGCTCACGGAGACAATAATTCACGTACTCTTCGATCGCACTCAAAATCATCATCCAACTTCTCATTAAATCAACAACAAACTTCTGGCACTTTTGCAAATCAACAATCATCTTCTAACATCCCCGTAGACCAGCAAATTTTAGTTTCGTGACTTTAAGTTTAAGGACATACTAGGTGAAAGACGAAGTGGTAAAACGCTCCTGTGCGAATTTCATGGTGATACAATTGCTTTGAAGAGTGTTGATTTATCAAAAGCCCCACATACATCCTGAAAGAAATGCAGAAAGAAGTCAAGATTTACAAAGACTTCACAAATATTCAAGGCAAGTATACTCCAAAGTTGATCTGTTATGGATTTTATGGAGAAGGTATGAATTTTGTTATTGGTATGACCATTGCTGGTACTACGTTGAGCGAGCAAAAAATAACTAAATGACAAAAGTCAAGGGCTGTTAAGGGATTAGAAGCGATTCACAAGCATGGTATCCTCCATAATGACATTCGGGAGGAAAATATCTTAATTAACGATAACGGTGATGTCTATCTGATTGACTTCAGGATGGCAAATCGGGAGGACACAAAAAAGAAGAGAAAACTTTTCGAGGAGGAACATCTCAAATACACTAACTTGCTAGATAGATACAATGCGTAAAAATTTATTATTACCAAATTCCTGTATTGCGATTTCTTGTAACTCTAGTTTTCTATCATTAATAAATGTGTACTTTATAACAGACATTTCGTAAAGAACGTGAGGCGAATTTCCAAGTCATGTAAATATCAGGTGGTTAGTTAGTCTGTAGGATAGACATTAGATTAAAAAAAATAGTCATGTATCACAGGTACAGTCCCGAACATTTGTATTTATTTTCGGCATTGTATTAATAAAAAAGGCAAAAGTGATCGATGTGAACTATTGTTCACATGCACGTGATTTTTGATTGTGAAGATTCTTCACAATTACACCTATGCGAATGCATGTTTAATATGCTAATTTCTGTTTATTTTTCCGAATGAATGAAAGTGAGAGAATCTCATAATTAGCAGTATTAGCGATAGCTGTAGAAATTTACCATAAACGTACGAGCAAAGAAATAATATGATGCCGGGACTTGCATTAAATAAATGGCCTGGTAGTCCCTCCCTCCTTGATAGCATTATACATTTCACTTGCTTCTTTACCATTATTATTACTTTTATTTATAATAAAAGTTTCTTAATTGGACTTTAATTTTTTAATCACACTGTATGTTGTTAAATCATGTATTGCAAGAGATTTATTTTTTATGAAAATTATATTACATTTCGTGAGTAATTGTGAAGTTTAAAGATATAAAAAATTTTACACAAAGACAAATTTGTATTGCATTTCTGCTGAGCAAAACCTGGAGATACGTGTTTCTAGTTTTATGAAATCTATTTTATCTCACTTGCTTTTTAAGAATTTTCTTCTTAATCTTTTTAAATTTATTCAGAGCCTTCTTAGCAGATGGCCTCTCTTTACTATCTTGACTTAGCAAAAGATCCCCAAATTCAGTGATTTTTTCTGAAAGATTAGTGATCCAAATGCTTGCATTCTTAATTAATTTCCCTACACCCCATATATCAACTTCACCACGATGATTTCTGGTAAATACTTCCGGAGCATGTTCCTCGGTTGTAAGATGCATCGCCGGACTATTTGGATACCCAGTGGCATCATCCCAATCTATAAGAAACCATTTTGATGGATCATCATATCGTCGAATAATATTATCCCACCGGATATCCCGATGATATATAGGATCATTATCATCATGTAAAACCTGTAGATATTATAAAATAATAAATAATGTATCTATCTAAAAATCGCAAACATACTTACCACAAGCGCCTCCAGAACACAGATAATAGCTTCAAACAATTCCTGCTGATTGTTTGGTACAACTTGTTTTCCATTTGGAGAAAGATGCACTACACCGCTTTCTTTGTTGTAACAATTAAGATGATCAATATTAGGTACTCCTTTCCTAACCAATTTTTCATAAATATTAACGAGCTTTTGAACGCGAATTCCGACATCTTCGTAAGTATAGGTTTTTTTAACACCTGTACCACGCATTTCGATCGTACGATTTGTTCTGCAATGTTACGGATAAAAAAATGACATCAGATTATAAGATATTTTGAAAGAAAGTAGATTCCTTATCTCACCTATATACTGTTTTGAACTCGGGTATTCCACGTCTTCCAATTACTGGCTGAAGCGCATTAATAATACAGCTTAAATTGATTATTCTTAGCAGATGACGGACACGTTCCCTCCTGAGCTTTAAGTTTGATTGCACGATGTCAACAACATCTGGTATAGCATAACCTTCTACAGGTCGGCAAATGGCAACGAACGTTACTTGAGGTCCATGGGTATAGTAACCTGTGATTGCAAAATCATGTTTAGTATGTAGCACGTCTTGAAACAGACACGAGATCTTACCTAAGACATATGGAGCTGGATCATAGGTCCATAAAAGTTTTCTCCCAAGTTCTGATTTTTGATCCTCAGTGCTGGCAGATGATTTTTCCTCTCCCCTAAATGAGCAAACATTATTAAGGATTAGACCATAGTCAGGTCGATCATCTCTCGTACTCGTGTATTTACTACTATTTCGAATAGATACACCGTCGGGAACGAGATATTCCAAAAGGTCTCTAATGCAAGTGTCCCATAATCCAACAAAGGAATATTCGGTTCCATCATCTGGAGGAATTTTATCCTTTAAGATAGGTGAGAATATCGCACGAACACAGAAACCGGTGGCGCTTTCAGTATCACTAACTCGGAATAAGGCTCTAAGATTATCTAGACTGCAGGGATCTGTGATATTTCTTGATTGTAACATATCAATTTCATTTTGGGAGATAGGTATCTTAATATCTTCGGGGAGTTCCCTATCAAGGAATTCTGAAAGAGATCCAATTTCTGGAATTGTAAACCTAGGTCTCTTTATAAGTTTTTCAAGAACTTCATCACTGACATCTTGGACTATGAATGTAGAGAAGAAATATTGGTAAATGACAGAACAAACCGGTAATGCAACTATAACAACGACGCATTCTTACCCGCTTTCCTTTTTCTTTCAAGATCTAATGGTTTTGAAAAAAAAATGATGATAGTGAGAAAACGAATATGACAACGAGTGATAACTGCAAATTTCTTGTTCGAGAGGTAAAACGTTGGGAAACACTTACCAGTGGCGGGGGCTACAATGACAGGGACTACGAAGATATGAAGGCATCTTCGCTTTGGTTTTTTTTTGTCATTATCGAAATATTCTTTAAATTCAATCCCAGGTTGCATCTTTGCGCCAAGATCTTTAATTTCATCTTTTGTATAAATTTTATTTATAATGCTCGAAATTTCAACTTCAACTTTATAAAGATCCATACTGTCAGGATCTTGAACTACCTTTTTTACTTTTTTCCTACGAAAGAGAAGCTCTTTGAAGTTTGAAACAGTAAATTGATCAAAGGCTACATCAATTTTATCATCATTGGTGTATACTTCGCCAACGACAACGTTGAAATTATTATCAGAAGCTTCTCCTAGAATTAAACAATTTACTGAAGCTATCATTGTGTTTGTGTTTCTGTAAGTGCTGTAAGAGATAAAATATATTTTAGAGAAAGGAAGCTAGAAAGGAAAATATTAGAGATATATACTTTTCTGAATACATCGTGATTAATTATAAAATGATCTTTATAAACTCTTAATTGGTGATACGAAATATAATATAATGTAGTATAAAAAAAGTTTATATAATGATATAAGCACAGCAAAAAAAAAGTTTATAATGATATAAACATAGTAAAAAAAAAAGTTTATAAAATTAATTTATCGGCAAGCGATTCACACGATTTTATCGTTACTCAGATTGCATTCACGAGGTATTTATTAATTCTTCGGTTGTACAACAACAATTAATAGCCAATAAAATTAATTTTATATTATGTCATAAATTGTAAGTCGTTACATATACAGTAAACTCTCCATAAGTGCACGCTCCCGGGACCGATCATTTTCGTGCACTTAGGGAGGGTGTGCATTTAAAGAACAGCCAATGAAATCACAGATATTGTTACACAATTATCGCAACTAAATTTTTTTCAGTTTTTATTAAAATTAGAATATTTTTCTCCGATACATTTCAAATTAAAGCTAAGTATTACTTATAATCAAAATATGTATCGATATTTGTTTGCTGCATTGAACTTGTTTTTTTGATTTTAAAAAATTTTTCAATTTTTCCTACTAACTTTACATATTCTTCCGCATTGTCC